TGGACAGAAATCCAAAATAATCATCAAACTGAATTTTGGAATAAAAGTAGGCTAACATGAGGCTTTCTGGAATGGCTCGGATCTCAAAATTATGTTGAATATATGCACTACCCTTAAAAAACGTCTTCTTTGCACTAACAATTTCTTGAATTTAACCAAAACAAGGGATCGCCTTGTTATTTGTAACCGAAGAGTTCTGAGACTTAAAAACTAGACTTTCTGTTTTGGGTGATGTCAATTAAAATAATGGTTTGCAAACAAACCTTACCTTTAAAAATAAATTATTCAATAGCAGATTTAAAAGTTTTGTTTTTAAATTTTTATTTATTTAAATTTCCTCCAAACTTGTGCACAGAAAAAAAATGAACACCTAGGAGGTAAAAAAAAAAAACACCAAACAAATTAATGGTCAGAAATGCATAGAGGACATATGCAGGTCACTCCTATCAGCTCATTGCTGGTATGACTCTGTAGGAGGCTTTGGCACCAGCATATTTGTATTCATTTCATTTATCACCCGCTTGACTTAAACTGCTAGTTAAGCAGAAAAAAAATTTTCTAATGTGCTCAGTTTTCTTCTTATTGACATGCTTTAGTGATGTCAGTATACTATATGTGTATGATGTATTGCACATAAAGAAAATATCTGTATTCTAATCTTTATATTGCCAGTTTTACTCATGATTCTTAAAAAGAGCCAATTAGTACCATTAAAGTTTGCTGTTAAAAACTTAGCAAAGTATTATATTTTCAAAAAAACAAATAATTATTTAAATTTATGGAGTTTAAAGGAAGAAACAATATTCAAAACTTCACTGCCATTCAATTTATCCAAAATACGTGTCTCATTGAAAGGTAATAAACATATGCAAAGGTTTGACTGACGAGAATTAATACTATAGATGTATCAATCTGAGCTTCCTGTGGTCTGGAACTGCTCCACTGCAAGCTCCAAGAATCATTTACTGTCAAACAGAGAGTGTAAAGCCAGTTTTTCAGAATCAGAGTTCATGTTATAGCTCAAAGCCTAAATGAGAATATATAATGATAATAAAATAGGAAAGCAAGACGTATTGTCTGCATTCACCTGTTCACATTCAGAACATTCAAAAGCCTCATTAACACTTTATATGAATTTTTGACTTTACAAGGTTGTTTTTTTCCCGAAGGAACTTCGAACAAAGCTTGCACTTTGGCAACAACATGTAGCCTACAACGTTGTTGCCAGAATGCAAATGATTGCTGTAAACTGATGCAGTGCTCATATTTACTTGTTCATAGACTATGAACCTCATTAAATCACACCTCACATTTTAGGTTGTGATTTAAGTTTACAACTTGGACATTTTTAACAGTTTTACTCAGACAGACGATGTTTTTTTGTGTGTATTTTTTAAACGATTCAAACAAATCAAGAGGGATTTAAGAAAAAAACACAGGTCCAGGTGCAAGTTATGTACATTTCATTATGTATATTGAATAAAGTAGTTTGCCAAATGTGCTGTAGTTTTCTTCTATACCCATCTGTTTAAGGTCATCTATGTAAGAACTATTATATATAAAGACATGTACCTTTTCTGTCAGCTTTTAATTTAGATTCAAACATCAAGGCTTCCAGCTGATCTAAAGGCTTAGTTTTTATTTTTCATGTTTTTTTCATGCAACCAGAGTAGATGAAACCAGGAGGACTCAAACTTCACCTATTTTTAAATAACTTGTCATTAATTGCAATAAAGATGAAAACCCAGTAAAAAACGGTTAAAAACATTTCTTCCTTCAGAGATCAGACTTCATAAAACTTTTTCTGATTATTTTCTGACAACAGGTGAGCATAAAAAAAAACCCACCAATGAAATTTTTTAGGAGCTGATGAAGCTCTTGAAAAGACAAAGTTAAAAACGCATTTGTTTAGAACTGCCTGTGACTGTTGAAGTTAAAGTTTTAACTGAGGTATCTTAACACTGTGTGCAGAATTATTAGGCAAGTTGTATTTTTGAGGATTATTTTTATTAATAGGCCACAATTCAGAATCAGATCAGAATCAGAAATACTTTAATAATCCCAGAGGGAAATTACTTTTGTTACACGCTCCAGTTAGTTATATATATATATATATATACACACACACATCCATCCAACTACACAAGATAATCAAGATAAAAATAAAAAAGAGATAAAATATACAAACATATAGCTCTTCTAGATATATATATATATATATATATATATATATATATATATATATATGCATATGTAAAACTAAATCCAAGTAAAGTGAAAATGTTTCCTATTTTTGGAAGTTTGTGGGTTTTTTAGATTTGGCCATTTTATGAGGATGTCTGTGTGTGCTGGTAAATATTAATATGCAGAATTATTAGGCAACTTAATAAAAAACAAATATATACCCATCTCATTTGTTAATTTTCACCAGGTAAACCAATATAACAACTCAAAATTCAGAAATAAACATTTGCGACATTCAAAAACAAACAAATCGGTGACCAATATAGCCACCTTTCTTCACCATGACTCTCAAAAGTCTTCCATCTATAGATTCTGTCAGTATATTGATCTGTTTGCGATCCACATTGCGTGCATCAGCCACCACAGCCTCCCAGACACTGTTCAGAGAGGTACAGTTTCCCCTCCCTGTAGATTTCATATTTCATGAAGGACCACAGGTTCTCCATGGGGTTCAGATCAGGTGAACAAGGGGGCCATGTCATTATTTTCTCTCCTTTTAGACTTTTTCTGGCCAGCCACCGTGTGGTGTATTTTGATGCGTGTGACGGAGCATTGTCCTGCATAATATCATGTTTTTCTTGAATGATGACGTCTTCTTTTTGTACCACTGTTTGAAGAAGGTGTCTTCCAGAAACTGGCAGTAGGTCTGGGAGTTGATCTTGACTCCATCATCAACCTGAAAAGGTCCCACAAGCTCATCTTTGATGATCCCAGCCCATACCAGTACCCCACCTCCACCTTGCTGGCGTCTGAGTCGATTATTGTTGCTAAGAGGGTCAGAGTTGGTCGTGATCATGAAATTGATGCAGAAGGACAGGATAATGCCAATACTAGGACTGGGGAGGAGGAGAGGAAAGAGACAGATGAGGAGGAGCATGAAATGAAGGGAACAGAAGGGAAGAAGTGAACTGCAAGATAATAGTGCAGGAACCACAAAAAAAAATAGTTCCAGGTTATGGTCCAACATTCAGGGCTAAGTTGGCAGCAAGTCTTCAGCAATGCCAACCCAGAATTACATTAATATCTAGAGATCCAAGGATTGTAGTCCAAACCTTCTGAAAATGGTCCGAAAAGTTATAAATTTTCAGGGCTAGTTTGTATCTTAGGATACAGCTTTGTTTTGATTTTTTATATTTGACTTGATATTTTTAATAACCTTCTTGTTTAGCAAGCTTTAAAAAGTTGAACTTTTTTTTTTATTTCTATCATCAAAGAAAAACAGCTTTAAATGGTGAAAAAAGTATTTTTATACTGCAAATAATGTAGTGGTTTTAAAATGTGTTTCCATTTGTATCCATGGTGCAATTGGATAAAAGGTTGAAGGGCAAAATTTGTCAAAAGGGGAATGAAAATATACCTGAAAGATGAAAAAAGTCTGAAAATAGAGAAACACAGATAAGAGAAAATGAAGACAGATTTATAAGAAACAGTAAATTGATGATAGATTAGAGAACCTCTAGTCTTTCTCTTTAGCCACATCTGTTGCCAATACCCCCCCCCATCCCCAAAGGCCAAAATGCTAGGGGAAACACTGAAAACCATCAAAAATGACACATGTATCCACTTGTGATAAATTTCAAAGTTAACAATGTTTTTCTCATAACCTTTGGCATAAGTGGGCTGGTAACTTTAGGGTAAAGTTAACCTGGTTACACTATCGTCACTTTACTATCTTACATGTGTCACTGTTATGTGTAGAACATGAAGGGATTTATGGCTGAGAAGCAAGGGTACTGCGTCGTCATGGTTACCCATGTGTAAGTGACTGAAACATGGATGGAGATGTAGCATTTCAGACCTGTTGCTGTTCCCCGCGTGTCTTAGTGAGCTGCACACTATATGCAGTGGGGTAGTAAAACAGACAACAAATAATCTTAAATCTTTTGGATTCTTTTATGAAATGTGACTCAACATAATATGCATTTTTGTCCAAATGAATAAAACTAAGATTAAAACTAAGATTAAAACTAAGATGGATGCCAAACACAACAGTGATGGTAAAGCAGTTTAAGCTGTTCTTCAATGGAAACTGTTGCACATACCACACCATTTAAATTTATTTGGTTTTAATGTTCTCCTGAACGCATCAGTGCTACAGGTGGTCAAAGCTGCTCTCCAAGGAACTTTCCTAAATCAAGATGTCTAGGATTGTTTCAAATAAACAAAAATTGTTACTCGCCTTGCAATTGAAAAGAGATCAAACAGCTGCTCTTACTTACACCTGTTCTCCCAGGGTGAAACTGACGCATACACCACTGTTCAATAACTGCTGCAATGACATCTTGCATCTTAAAAATGAATTCATAAGGCTAGAATAAAAAACAATCACTGAAAATATAACTAAGCCATTTTGTACACACACGTACATCAGTTGTCCGAGGACATGTGGGTGTTTGGATGCTTGTTAGGTGTATATCTGTGTGTCAATAAAGAGGGGGGTGAAATGAAACAAGGAGTGTGGAAGGAGGGAGGGAGGAAGATGGGTAACTGCATATGAAATACTGTTTTCAAGGCATTAGCCACATTTGTTCCAGCCACCTCCATCTCTGTCTCATCTTCCCTCTTAAAAGAAGGTGTGGATAAAAACACCTTAAACTGAAGCAGAAGGAAAAAAGGCTGATGGCTGAGATCGCAGTCAGTCTAATTTTCTCAGACGTGTCCCTCAGGAGACAGCCTTAATAGCTCCACTTGTGTTTTATTTTCCCTTACAGCCCCAAGAATGATGCAGGAAATTAATCAGGGTAGAGTCTCACTACCTGCAACCACACTGGCCAGCTGATGTGTCCGGGTGATGGGGTTGACACGACGCGCCTCCACAATGGCTGAAGCTATTTTCCTGGCGTGTCTTTCTTCCCCATATGCAGTGAGGATAGATGCAAGAGCCTGTTGATCTAAGGTATTCACAACGTCAGCAGCGCAGGGCATGTCAGGGTACCTACGCACAAAAAGAAGCCCAATTAAGCTGCTTGACGTCATGTCCTTGCTGACAGAGGCGAATCCTGACAACTCTGAGATACAGCTGAAAGCCTGTATGGGGGACAATTCTGAACAAAATGATTTGGAGGCAGGGGAAAAAAGTGAAAAGCTGCCTTTTCATAAGTGTATGATGAGGTTAAGTTATGAGGTTGGTATGAAGATAATGCAATTGTTTAAAATAAAGCCATTTTTCTCAGCATATTTTACTATTTTTGCAGATACATGCTACAGTTGTTTGTATTGTTTATATACTTAATAGCAGGTTATTAATTGCTGTTTTAAACATTGGGGACATTTAACTTTCTTAATTATGAAAGAATGATTAGGAGCATAATGTTAAAAAAGATTCTGAAAATTGGCAGATATTTTAGTCATACAGAAAAAAACTATACTCAAAGTGTTACTGTAGGGTAAAGTTTTGCTTTGATTATTTTTAGACTTATGGTAATAGGAAAAAAATGTTGATGGTAGGAGATGGAGTACTTCTTATGGCTTTTTTATTTCAAAGTTTTTTTTTTAACATCCAAAAAGACCAAAGAATTTCTGATAAATTAGCAGAGGATTTGCTTTAAATGATCTTGCATTCTAACCACTGAAAATACAGCTGAGGGCAATTTGTTCAGGTTCCCAATTATTCATACCTCTTCCAGATTGCCGTTTAATGTAATCTTTAAGCAAAATGTATTAACATTGATACTAGTATAAAGTAGTATCAAAGATACTGAACTTTTACTGGATACTTGCTATTGTCGCAAATTTGTTTTGAAAAGACCTGCCGTCTCCACTTAAAAAAAAAAAAACTGCACATGCACAACCCTGTACCACATCCCAACAGGGAACGTCTATTAAAAGTGTGCGAGAGCCCATTTCTCCTCGTGTACGCTCTGCTTAACAGTTGCTGTTTGCATGGCTCATACAAGCTTACTTACCAAAAGAAGATTTGCAATTTTTCCACTATGTCAGAATATATCAGTGAAAATGGGGACGGCCTTACACAAACATCACCAGAATGATTGACAATAAGGAGGACCACATGTTTTGATGATCCACCCAGAAAAAGAGCATCCTCCACTAAACCTTTAACTCCCCTCTGACATCTAGGAGGAGGAGGAATAGCTATGGTCTATAAGAGGGTCTATAAATGCAAACAGCGATCGACTTCATTTGTCTGCTTTGAACTGTGCTTATCTGAGCTGGGTAGCTCTAACACCGTACTGTGTGATGTGATCTACCAACACTCTAGATATGATAAGGACTTTTTTAATGACTTTTCTGATTTCCCGGGTGTAATCATGGCCAAATATGACTGTGTTTTTTATTGTTGGGGATTTTAATATGCATGTGTTGTCCTGATAAGGCAAGGGACTTTTTAAATCTCATTGACTCTTCTAATCTTGTGCATTCTGTGTCTGGACCAACGCATAAGCGCGGACACACACTTGATCTGGTTCTATCATACGGTCTGCCCATTCTTAACCTAGACATTTGTTCAAGAGGTATTTTCTGATCATATGCCTGTACTATTTAATGATGCTCTTTCCTGTACTGTAGTTAAATCTGCTGCTAGGCGCCATCTCTCATTAACCCCTCCACTGCTGCTCAGTTTTCTGCAACCTCCATTATCCTTGAGTCCAGTTCAGAGGAGCTTAGATCATGGTTTCACTCTATCTACCAAACTGTCTTAGATACTATGGCTCCATTGAAAACCAAACACCTTAAAAGATCACAGTCTGGGTAAAAGACAACTCGCGCTGTCAGATGCGAGTGCCGTAAAGCTGAGCACAGGAGGAAAAGGGACATACTACAGGTTACTTTTCAAGTATTAAATGAGTGCTGGTGACATTATCAGAGAACTGTGAAGAATGCTAAGAGGGAAAATCTACTATTATTCTGTCTAACTGTCAGATTGACTCGACTTGGTACAGAGGCCGCTCCCACTGATTTTGAAAAATTTCTTCACTTTTTCATTGGTAAAGTCTCTTCTGCTAGATCTCTCATCTCCCCAGCCATTTAAGACCCTTGAATCTTTGTCACCTGCTCTGCTGTTTTTGACCAGTTCCAGCGTGTGACTCTGTCCTGATTACAGGACACTGTTGGTGAGAGCCTAAGGTTCTCCAAATGATGCCGTCCCTCCTTGGCTATTTAAAGAGGTCTTACCAACTGTTGGAACCTCTGTTTTTGCACATATCAATAGCAGTCTGTCCTCAGATGTGGACCCTGTTTATTGCTGTTTACTGCATTTATAAAATGCAGTCATATGACATCTGATAAAAAAAACCTGGGCTAGATCCTGTAATTCTTGCCAATTTCAGGCCCATTTTCAAGGAGCCTTTTATTTAAAAACATCCTTAAGAAGATGGTTTGGAGTCATATAACGGCCTTTTTAAACGTCCAAAATCTTCTTGATTATTGTACCTCCTGCACTTTATTCTAAACTTACTGAGGCTCTTGCTTATTTTTTTTCCAAAGTCTAGTCTTATAATTTTCAATTCTTTTCTTGGCTGACATGTGAAATCACTGTCTTGCTCCCTTTTTTCATTTAAGGAACATTTCAAAACTAAATAGCCATTTGTTTAGCTCCGTCTTAATACTTTCCACTTGATCATATATTACAGTAAAAACAATTTGGAGAGTGTTCTATTCTTCACTTTGAGTGGTAAAATCTTTAAAGAAAACCTAACCTTTGGAAAATAATTGTCTAAATTTAAAACTTTCTAGATAGTAAAGGTTTTCTAAAGTCTGATATAAAATACACTTACTACAAGCGCTTACGAGCTGATTTGCCCCAACCTCGCACAATGCACATTAGAGACTGACATTTTTTCGGGAATCCCACGGGTCACGGGATTCCCGTGGAATTCCTGTGGGATGGGAGTCAGTATTAGTAACGTGATCACGTGATTGGGACAGTACACGATTAAACATTAAAGGGAGCAGACGGGAGCGGGAGCAAACCAATAATGACAAAAAAAAAATAAAAATAGGATCGATGCCAAAAAATAAAATAAAATAGAAAGTAAAAAAATCCAGTACTGGCGTGGCGCCGCCATTTTGTAATTTTTTTCCTTGAGGACTATACTATAATGCGAGTGAAAAAAAACTACACGACCCAAAAACCAACAGTGCTTCCGCTCTGTTTTTTACCCGCGTTCAAAAAAAAAAAAAAACAAGAATGGGAGTGGTGCAGGAGCGGGAGTCATTCTGAATGGGAGCGGGATGGGAGTGGGAGTAATTTCACCAGGAGTGGGACGGGACAGAATTTAGATTTCTACTCTGGCCCTGGATCGGGAAGGGACACAATTTTTTTCTGTAGGAGTGGGACGGGGCAGGAGTGAAAATCCACTCCCGTGTCAGTCTCTACTGCACATGTGCAAACATGGGAATTCTCCTTCTTCATAGTCAGATTGCATAAGAGCATTGGGTTTAAGAGCAGATATCATGGTTTCGTTTTACAGTTTGCGCTGTAGCTGATTGAAAATATCATACAGTGTATGCCCGCCCTAAGCAGGAATTAAAAGTATTCCGGCTCGTAGCAATTGCCTGTGGGTAAAAATAAATAAATAAATAAATCACTCAAAAATAAATTGACTGTAAATAAATCTAAAATTGGCAATTGAAATCCCTCTTGCGTTTGTCAGCCAGTGCTAGCAAAGGAGCGTTCTGAAACTAACAATATTAGCCAAACAGAAGAGGAAGGGGGTGAGTGCTGTTTGTGCGGTCGCGCACACTACACGTTTGCCGGGAGCTGCGGCAAGAGCTAATTTACCAGTATCAATAACTGACCGTGTATGCGAGTTAGCGAGTTAAAAATAAGGGTTTGTGCTTTCCTCACTGAACACGACCTTTCATTCAAACTAGATATAGATGCACTTTTGCCATCTTCTGGCCATGTTTGGTAAAGTCAAATTTAGTCTTCAATCATTCATGCCATCTCTGATGCTATGCCCCACACCCAACTGGCATACACACACACACGGATATATATGTGTGTGTGTGTGTGTGTATATATATATATATATATATATATATATATATATATATATATATATATATATATATATATATATATACCAGGCCTCTGGTAGAGGACCCGAGCTTGAGGATGACACATACCACCCCACGAGGGGTGAGAAAACAGTTTTTTATATATATATATATATATATATATATATATATATATATATATATATATATATATATATATATATATATATATATATGTAGTTCAGGCTCAGGATTTTTTTTTTTTTTTTGCTTTAATCCCTGCCTAAGAATTAATGCTGGTCTTAAGGCAAAAGGGGCCCTGTACTACCATGGCTGATAAGTAGGGTTGGGTACCAAGAATTGATCAGAACCAGTTCTAACCTTTCAATTCTCCCAAAATCGTTTTTCTTAAACTCTTAGTTAAGATGTCCAGTCTGACTGAACTCGAAGCTGCCTAATAGCAGTGACGAAGAATCCAAAGGTGTGTATGCGCAACTATCTCTTTGTGTCGTATTTAAAAGTCTGGCGTAAAGCTAAATTAAAAATGACCAGTGGGCTACCTGCAACACTGGTGATGGGATTATATTATGCAAAGGCTGCAACTGACATAATTAAACATTGCTTAACTCGTCTTTAACCTGCTGTACTGGTGTTGCAAGGTAGGCTCCAGAGGGAATTTGTTTCTCCACTTAATTTATAGCACACCTTCAGGAGGGAAATGGAGCCTTTTTTATACTTTCTTCATCTTACTTCACATCTTAACAGATACTCGCCTTGTTTCCCAGGAATTCTGAATAGAATGGAAAACACTTTAATCTTGATCTGTCAGACTTGTAAATAATTCTAAGCTTAACTCCATCAATTGTTTAATTTAGCTCATTTGGGATTTGTTTCATATAATTAAACCCACTAACTAAACAATGTATTATGAAATCTAATCATTCCTCTATCCACAATATTAAAACATCACTACTTCAATGTCTAGCTGAGTGGAGCTGAGGTGCAGTAAACAATGCTGAGGATATAAATTCTGTCAGGATGCCTTCCTGCTGTGCTGCTTTTTCCTGCAGCTCACACACTCAGCCGAGAACCGCACCATAGTCAGAATCAGGTCAGTAAATAATAAAATGGTCTTATTCCAAATAAGTACCTGAAGCATCAGACAATGCATATATGGAAATGTATTTTAATTATGTATTCAAACAGGAAGCTCTGTCAAAAAATGTGAAAATAATATTTAAGGGTTGAAAATAATTGTGTGATAATTTACAGAGTTATATGTATAATAAAATTTAATTTTATAAAGAGGTTCACACTATTTTATCCAGACAGAGGTCCAGTTAGCCAGCTAATGTTATAATCCTTCCTCTTAAAAGAATCGGAATCGGTAAGAACTAAGATGGAAACGAGGAATAGGAACCATCCAAATCGTCCAAGTCACTGCCATCCATCAGTGTCTGGCACTTTAATGTGCCAGTCACTGATGGATGGTATCTATGTGGCACTGTCCATCTTATATCTGAAAATACTATTCTGTTAATTCTACATAAATATTTAGCTTTATTCCCTGGACAGACTCCCCTCCTCATCAATCAAAAGCTGCTAAGCAGTTATCAATCTAAATGACTGAAGCATCACTGAGGAAACAGGCACATCATCCTGCTATAGAGTTTATGATTACCCACAAACATCTTTGATAACTTTGTAGATAATGGAAAACGTAAGAAATTCCCAGGGAATTACAAATGTTTCATTTTTATTTACGGACTCTTTGAAAAATCCACTAAACAAATAGAGTAGTACTAGTTATCCTATTAATATTGGCTTGATGTTTAGTATTATTGTATGAAAAAAAAACTTAAATGTTGACTTAAAAAAAAAAAAAAAACTTGCATTGGCAAGCAAAGGCCAACATAAATAAAGAACTCCATAAATTCTTTATCTGGGATCAAGTTATATCAAAAAACAGTTGCTCTTTTAACTTCTACGATGTGAATTGTGTTTTTAAGTCGCACATAGGACGCTTAAAGAATTATGTAAGAATTTAATGTAAGTCCTTTTCATTTATTAACATCTAACACCAGGCTCGCACTGAATGCTGTGCAGCTGATTATTTGAGTTCCATGCAGGGTAGACTCTACTGGGAACTCAAATAATCAAAATCAACGTGTACACGCGTATAAGCCGCTGTGTGGTGCAGCTGCATTACTGAGGCTGTGTGGTTCGACACAATGTTTTAGCAAGAAGGTGGTATGGCGGGAGGCCGCAGGGTTCCTAGCATCAAGCTCCCAAAATGTACACGCCAAACAGAAGAAGTTGGGTGCCTGTATAGGAAAAAAAACCTGTCACTGTGAATTTCAAAATAAAATCAACTATCGGATCGAGTATGGTGGCCATTGGACAATTTTCCTTTAATCGCCCTGCAACTGCTAAACAGAAACACAAAGAAACAGAGGGGCCACTGGGGCATAAAAAGGGATATGAATGCACAAGGAGCAAGTTTTTCAACTCCATGAAAGAGAATGAATCTGAACGTCTGTTTGTCTTTAGAGCAATTTCTGCAGACTAGCCGCAGCTATTCTAGCCGGGTTGCAGTGTTCAGTTCAAGTAACTTTGCAGCAAACCTGTGCCGCAGCTGCACAGCAGCCTCACTACATTCAGTATAGGCTCAGCGTGAGATAATTGCTAGGGATGCACTATGTTGGAATTGTGGCTGATATCTGATATGCCGATATTTTACAACTACACTGGATGATAATCAATACTGATATTTTTTCCCAATTACCTACTTAGAGCAACTATTTAGTTTTCTTTCTTCTACACTTTGTAGTCATTTCAAATAACAGTTTGGCTATACGTTTCAATAACTTAAACCTTGCAAACCACCAACATCTTAAATTCAGCATTTTTCCTTTAGCAAACTTATGCCAGATTTGAGAGCATGCGACCTTTTGGGGCTATTGGTATAATCCTCACTTTTTTGTCACAAAAAACGAGTTACCTTTTATATCGGTGGGTTAGGCTGATGGAATGGTCAGTGTTAAATGTTTTGTTTAATAGCTTATATCTGCTGATATTAATAACACCCCTATAATAATATGCATCGATAATTATGGAATCAGTGAACAGTTAAAATTATCTAAATTTTCTAGTGGCTTAAAAAAAAATCCAGCATATCCAAATGAAAGTACCAGAGTACGTAGAAAACATCTTACCTCTCACCGTCCATTCTCATATCCAAGGGCCCGTCTTTGCTGAGGGAGAAGCCTCTCTTCGCCTGATCCATCTGCATGGAGGAGCAGCCTGCATCCAGCAGGACAGCATCAATGCTGCCTGGCTTAATGTTCATGTTAGACATCAAGGCTTCTAGCTCACTGAACCGGCCAAGCAGGGGTTTCACACGACCACTGGAGGATTCAAGGGAGGAAAATAATTAGATTTTGAAATGCAGTGCCTCCAACATCATTGAGCTTGCCGTAAATCTAACTAGTAAAAGAGGGTATACATCTGAGCTTTTTTTTTTTTAGATAGTACATATTTGCTTTTTATGTCTGAAGTAAATCAAATATTATTGGAATGACTCTAATCGTGTTCATAATTTCATTCTCTCATCAATTAGTTTATCTAAAAGCAACAGTAGTCTCCCCCTGGAGCATGTATGAGAAACCCCCGAGCAAGGTCTGGGTTTTCCCCACGGCCTTTATTTTCTCTCGAAAAACCAATAGTAGTACTATTCCTCTACTTTAATCTCATTATAATCTGATACCAACCAGAGTTCTTTTTTTTTTCCTGTCAAAATACAAGCACAAATAGGCAGCCGGACTATAGGTAGCACTATAGATACTATATAAATATTTCTGAAGAAGCATTGATACCTATCCTAGAGTTTTAGTCAATTGACCTGGCACCAACTAAGATCGCTCAATCTCCTCAGAAAGTCAAGCCAGTATTATCTTATCACACCACCTATGGCGATTAGGCTCTTCTTTAGGGAGGATGAACAATCCAAGAGCTTTTTTGCATTAAAAACAAATTTCCGTGACTATTACGTTAACCACTAACAAATGCTACAGTCATTGTGCTAGTTAATCTGATTGAAGACCCACCTAATCTCAACTTTTAGCAGGTATGATTGCTCTCTGCCTCACATCAAAGCATACTAATCTAAGAAAGTTTGCATTGGTTTACTGAGCTTGCACAGTGCGATCCCAGGGCCTATTCCTGATGGGACGTACCTGGAACACTTCCAGAGTGAGGTGGTTCACAAAGCAAAAAGATGTCCTAGCCCCCTCAGCTGACACCTCTCAATGTGGAGGGGAAACAGCTCTACTCCGAAAACTGTCTATGATCGAGCTCCTTTCCCTGTATCAATAAGTATATATTGTACCAGTCCAAAATATAAATGTATGGCCAGCCAATGTTTTGGGTTTAGTCTGGTTCACACCAAACAATTCACCTTGTTCACCTGCTGCTGGTCGCTTGACATTTTGTCTGTCTCACAAACCATTCCAAAACGCAAGGCTGCAACATGTACCCAGCTTGCTTTACAGCGGCATCAAATAAGTGGAGCTTCTATCAACTAGCCGGTTTTTATTGTCTGATTAACAGTATTGTGGACTTAGGAAAAGTGCTGTATGTAATGTGGAAAGCTGACCAATGGCATCAGGGCTGTGCTCCTGCCTCCATAGGAAGTACCACTACCATTTCAGGAGCTGCCTCTGGACATATGTCACTTCCAGGGGTACTTCAGTTTTTCCAGGAACCAGTATCAGGACCTGCTGTCCCATATCGGGGATAGATGGGTGACATAACCCTGTATTTTTTCTATTATTTTACCAAAGGAAAGATGGGTGATTTCAATCACTGGCCAGCTGGCTGTTTTATCCACACATTAAGCTTATTAAAGGATGGCCAACATAGTGCACAAGGGCATTGATAGTGCAACAGCAAACCCAAAACTTAAAAAATGGAGCAACCTGTAAACACAATTAAACTGCATCTGGTTTAGCTGTATATATGTAAAAAAATAAAAATAAAAATAAAGAAATAAAATATATACAGCTAGTCTCTGGTTTGCATCAGTTCTTTTTTTTTGTCTCAAGTTTTAGTGGATACATTTCTGCAGAAGGGTTGCACTGGGGAGAAAAGCTGCAGCTTGAAGGAGTTTTTGTGTATCAATATGAAACAGCATTAGGTTTTTTTGGGTCAAAAACAAAAAAGCTCTTAAAAAATGCTCTTAAAAAACTATCATTGAATGGCTAAATCGAGGTCAGCGCAGCCAAAATTACATCATTTTGGGCTTCCACGCCCCTTCACACAGACTCCATGTGGACAGCTGATACTAAGTGAGGGTTTGCAAATCTAAAGATCTAGAGACATCCTGTGATTTAGCTCATATATATATATATATATATATGTATATATATATATATATATATATATATATATATATATATATATATATATATATATATATATATATATATATATATATATATATAACCACTCTCAACGCATTGTGGAAAAACTCCAGGAAAAATAAATGCTCTCGAATTGTTCTCAAATTGCTGTCGAACGGCATGAAGACGCTTTGATAAAGTTGTAAAAGGTTGTGTTTTCTACTTCCTTGTGTGTTGTGGTGTTGTCACCCCCAAGAGCTAGCCAGAGCCAGCCACAACAGGAGAAAAGTTGTAATGAGAGTATAAATGCTACAGAAGATGTGACGGGCGGATCATTTTCTGCTCGGAACGTCCGTACCTCCAGCATAATGAGCCCTTGAGTCTAACATTGACGGTGGAAAGATTTGTCCAATCACCCAACCTGTAGGGTGTGATTTTCTTTCTGAAATCCTACTCCTCCTTGTTATGTGGCGGAGGTTTAATTAGATCACAATTCAGAATCCTGGAGAGGAAGAAGTATGACGCTTCAGCTCCTTGTAAGAAGGTGAAGGCCTATATCTATTGGTTTTTTATTTATTGATCTCACAGTGGAGAAATTTGCCTCTGCATTTAATCCATCCCCCTAGGGAGCAGTAGGCTGCCATCATGGGGCGCCCGGGGAGCAGTGTGGGATTAAGGGTCTTTTGCTCAGAGAGCCATAGTGGCGGTCTGTGGGAGTGGGGCTCCAACTCAGAACCTAAGGATTCCAAGCTCCATGATCTGACCACCAGGCACCACTCCCCTACAAATGTTAATCCCTTTATTGTTGCACAATGGAGAAACTGGTTCTCTACATTTAGACCCAGCCCCTTGGGGAGCAGTGGATCAATCAGGGATTAAGGGTTTTGTTCAGGAACCCATTGCAATTTCCAGCATCTTAAACAGACTTTTGAAATATAAGAAGTGGGGTTATTTTTTTTTTTTTTTTTAGTAACGCTTGCCTTGAAAATAAAGAAAATCCATAAAGTTCATAATTTTTAAAGAAATTGCTAGCTCTTTTCACTTTGGGTTCATATAAAGTTACTTTTAAGAATTTGTTCTTGCCATAAAATTGTCTACCAGTTTTGTTTGTTGTCAGTATGGACTGTATATCTGTATTTTCTACATCCACTTCTATAAGAAAAAACACCTAATGGCAAAAGCAAAATAATCCAGTTAGATATATAACAGTACAAGGTAGAGAGATATTCAATTCAATTTGAGTTTGAACCTTCCCTTGAATGCAACAGGACACTTTATCATAGCTTGTTAAATCTGATGTCTCACCCTTCTTTGAAGCAACTAGCAACCTGCTCACATACACTGAGTCACTGCTCTAAACACACAAAACTCCATCTGGAGGAAAAAGCTTGTTGATCTAGTTCAGTGGTTCTCAAACTTTTTCTGTCATTCCCCACTTTGGACAAGGGGGAATTTTCAAGCCCCGCCTGTCCCCATCGCCCCAACACAATGCTAATGAAATATTCAACAATCTTAAAATGTTCCAATTTTATTGAAGTAACAAGTAGTATCTAAATACAAATCTACATCAAATAACAGCAAGCTCAAAAATAAAGAAAATAAAAATGCAGCTGTGTCAAAATTTGTATCAAGCTCAAAGATAGAAAAAATTAAAGTGCCACTCTGCAATCTGTTAATAAAAGAAAAGAAGTGAAATCCATCTGGCAAGACAGGTCTATTTATCCCTGCATTAGTGGCTGCAATGAGCCTGTTTTGCATTGCAGTTTCTCAAAACGGGGTTGCAGGCTTGATACTGCCACTCTCAAGTCATGCTCAATGTTCAGCTGAGATCTGTATTTTGTTTTCATTGAAGCAGCAGCTGAAAAGCCCATCTCACAGAGATATGATGTGGCAAAGGGAAGAAGAATGCACACAGCTCTCTGCCCGATGAGTGGATACTCGCTCTCCACTCCTAACCAGAAACATGAACATGTGGCTGTGTGAATCAAACGCCGTTATTTATTTAAGATAAAATATTTCAAATTCAGTTATTTATGATCAACCTGCGCCGTCAATCCCGGCGCATGTGCGCTTTATTTGCAGTCTGGACGCAAAAGTTAAACATGCTGTGTCTCTGCTCTGACTGCAGCGCTGATAGGGACTCCTGCAATAGCGGGGGAGAACGGGGTTGGGACGGGGGAGGCGCCCCACGGCAGCACCTGCCGCTGGAGGACAAGAAAAGGAACGATACGTGCTTTCACGTAAGAGTCTCCAAAAGGCGCTAGATTTGTTTTTTTGAAAAAGAGTCGCTGGAGGGGTCTGAAATATAGCGACAAAGTCGCTGAGTTGGCAACACTGGGGCGCGAAAGTTTATTCTGTTACAAATAATATGCCGACGTCACGTCAATCATTATTTTGGCACTTCAGTTCCAGGGGAAATTTTTCTCATATCTAATGTTCTTTTAATTAGACTGCATGTAGGCTAGTAATGATTACTTTGTGGGTTTGATTGGTCTAAAAAGCGGCAACATACAGCTATAAGGACAGTTTGCTCTCACACATTCTACATTTATAGTCACACACACACACACAGACTGGTTTCCATGGGAAGTGGGGACTAAGTTTTCTATCATCACTTGTGGGGACCACACTTTCTAGTGGTTCTACAAACTCAAAAAAAATATTTTACACTATTTATAGCTGTATTACCCTATACACAGCTTCAAATAACTCAATTTCAAAAGTAGGGTAATCAAGCTGTCTGGGCCATCCTTTAAGGGGACTCAATAACTTTCTAAAAAACATGTCAGATGGGGACCAGATTTACATATTATTTGCATAATTTACACATACTAACTTACCTAGTGGGGACCTTTGTTCAATTTCCTGAAATATTCCATCAGCCTTATTAGATTTAAACAGAATGATCAATAATTTATCACTAACATCAGAAAATAACATCATTAACATAAGGAAATGATTACATAAAAACAAATCATTGCAGAACACCTTTTTATTTAACTAAAGGCACAGAGATGCTTTGTGGCTGTATAAGAAAAAAAGAAACAACCTTATCCTAAAGGTGTCAGAAATGAATCTACACTTCAAGTTTTTCAAATAAACATTTAAAACAATGAAATTACAAAAAATGCTTCTTTTAAATTAACATTGAAGCACAACGATGCCTTGTGGCTGTATAAGAAAAAAAGAAACAACCTTATCCTAAAGGTGTCAGAGATGAATCTACAATTTAAGTTTTTCAAATAAACATTTAAAACAATGAAATGACAAGTAATGCTTCTTTTAAATTACCATTGAAGCACAAAGATGCCTAGTGACTGTATAATAAAAAAAGAAAACCTTATCTTAAAGTTGTGAGAGATTAACCTACACTTCAAGTTTTCCAAATAAACATTTAAAACAACGAAATGACAAAAAATGCTTCTTCTAAAGTAACACTGAAGCAGTATGTAAAAAACACATCAAACAAGTCATTGGAACTTACATAGAAAAAGGAAAATGAAATATACATAAACGCCTATTTAACGGCTCTGAAGCTTCTTCCTGTTAGTTGTAATGCGGTTATGAATGAAAAATTTCACATTTTGCCATGTTCGATTTTTTAAAGCCACTGGTTCTGCCTTTAAGCATTTTTCACAATGATGTTTTCCTGGCACTGTGAAAGATTTTATGAAAGAACCCAGGTGTTTCTCGACGGCATTAACTTCGTCTGCAGTCCACGGTGTTCTCTTTGCAGGTCCTTTGCCTTAAAAAGGATCAGATAAGCAAACTGAGAAACCTCAGAACACATGTAATAATAAATACATTTATAAATATTGTGGAATGGCGGAATGAGAGAGAGGTAAATAAATAATGGGAGTATGACTGCTGGAACAACAGACCAGGCTGTTGACTAAGAGGTTGCGGGTGTGAGGGGCAAGAGAGAGGCCAAAACAGAGTAACTAGAAATCCATTATAAGGCCCACTCCAAATACTTGCATGACACCCTAACATCCCACAATGAGTTGTGGACTGAGTCAAAGTACGTAAGGGTTGTACTGGTTTACCTTTCGAGCAAGGTCTTGTTGTGCTGCCTTTCAATTGTATCTCCTCTTGATCATTATCTGTTGAGTATGAGGGTGGTGATTTACCTTTCCTTGATGCTGGTGGTGTCATGTTTCTATTTTGAGGAAGGGTTTGCACTTCTGATGGTTCTACAAAAATTAGAGTAGCATGCTTTTTATGATAACAACTGTGAATACAGCAATTTAGATCTTGCGTTGTACTTAAGGAAATAAAGTAAAGATTTGTTAAAGTGAAAATGAATTTTGGAAAAATATTCTAATTCTTAAGAGTTAGGACATCCTATAAGAATCTTTCCATTTAGTTACAAACAACTCAACTGTGTGCTCAAACCAGGTTATACATAAAGTGAAAAAACTAACAAAAAGTTGCTCTAAAATACCTTATATTGTATTTTACATATTCAAAAATCTTACCAATAGCAGAAGAGATTTCCTCATCCACCGCATTGTTGTCATCCTTGTTATCATCAGAGTTTAGATTTTCTGTTTAAACCACAAAAACATGTATATTAAAGGACTGTCTAAATCAGTTTTGCCAGATTTGGTGAATTATCTCACAACTGGGCAGTTTTTTTGCAGTTAGAATTTTTCTTAAATGAGTGGACAGGTTAGGAGCATGGTCAAGTTCTGAATTGACCAATTGAAAGTACATTTTAACTAGGGCTGCAACAACGAATCGATAAAAATAGACTTTTAAAAGCGTTGGCAATGAATTTCATCATCGATTATTTGTGGAGCGCGATTAATGCGTCATCCGCCGCCGCCGTCATCACTGCCACTTGACTGAAACGGGGGAAGAAAAAAAATTACGGCAGAGTGAGCCAGCGCTGCAGGTGCGCAGTGTTGCCAACTCAGCGACTTTGTCGCTATATTTAGCGACTTTTCAGACCCCTCCAGCGACTATTTAAAAAAAAAAGCGACTAGCGACAAATCTGTCGACTCTTTGGTGTCACTGGCGGCTTTTGGAGACTCTTACGTGAAAGCATGTATCATTTCTACTCTGCCGTGGAGCGCCTCCCCCATCCCAACCCCGTTCTCCCGCAGGAATCCCTCTCAGCGCTGCAGTCAGAGCCGCAGGATGTTTACCCTCAGCGTCCAGACTGCAAATGAAGCGCGCATGTGCCGGGATTGATGGCGCAAATTGATCACAATAATTAAAATAGCCTTTATAAATAAATTAACGTGAAAATTATGAGGGCAAGGCTTTTAAAGCTTAAATCTTCTGGCAAAGATAGAGTAAAGAAGATCCTGCAATTTATGGAAGTAAAGCAGAATAAAATCCAGCAAGATTAGTAATATGTCAATTAATTATCTGCCACATTCCCATGTAAATATCTGTCTTTGGAGGATGTGTTTTTTAGCACCCCTAGTTCTCTCATTTTTATTCCAAATACAATTCATAATTTGAATCACAGGGCTATTTTTATCTCTATGGTTCAGTATTTTCTCAAGCAGCAACTTTAACTGCTATACTTTCCAGTCTTAAAAGGCAGAACTCTTCTAGTCTAAAAAAAAACTCATTTGTTGAAATGGGGGGACCTATTGTTTGAACCCCTTAGGGGCTTTTAAAAACAAAAATGCCTGTCTTTTTTTGCGCTTTATGAAACAAAGTAGCCTATATTTTGTGGATGTACAGCTACATTTCTAGTGTAAGTTTGCATAGTTTTATCACAAACATTTATTTTTCATATTGCACCAGTACAGTTAATGAGCAACCTCTACTTGTGTGCTTGTTTGTTCTGTCTAAAATGTTTATTTTGGAATAAAGAGGTTAGTATAAAAAATATTTTTTGTCCGATTCATCGATTAATCGTAAAAATAATCGGCCGATTCATCGATTTTTAAAATAATCGTTAGTTGCAGCCCTAATTTTAACCAATCATCTATAATAATTAACTCATAGCCCTCTGAACTGCATTGTAGAAGATGTCTAATTCATTTGTGAATCATATATCTTCTGGTTGTACGAGCTCACAAAAGTCAAGCTCGTTGTGAGCTTGAAATTTGTGCATGTGGAGGAATATTCCAGTGCAAACATCAAGCACTGAGACTGCAGCTCGGAAAATTGGCAGGTGATGTTTAGAGTAGACAAAAAGCAGCTTCTGAGAAGCAGTTTGACCAGCTATAGTCTCCATAGGCTGTATTAATTTTTCAGTACAGTTTTCAAAGCTGCAAATGATGCACAGAACAGATAAACATACCATCCGGGTCGATCTGAATTTCATCCAAGTTCTTGCCATGAAACTCTGCCAATCTTCCATTTTCTAAGGCCATCAGAACTTTGCTGATCTTGGCAAGTTGTAGGGTCTTCTCTGGAAGCCTGTAGAACTCACGATGAATTCTAATGTCATGTCCCAGAAAGGTTGCCAGTTGATCCATTTCTGTATTAGTCATATTCAAGACAGTTGAAAGTGTTGCAGCATGTTTTCGTAGTTTGGTAGATGTCAGAGACCTCGGACACTTGGCGCCACAGGCTCTTGCAAAGTCACGGAGGCAGTCTGAGCCTCGGAAATGTGTCATGGCTTCTGGTCTTGCAAACAAATATAAGTTGTCTTTTAAAACGCCACAGGCTTCTCTCAATTTAACTAGAAGTTCTAAAGCAGACAGCATTTTAGGAGTTAGAAGAATCGGAACTGGCCGCCCTCGTTTTCCTCTGGTGACAATCCTTGAGAAGTGCTGACAGAGTTTTTTCTCCACTTCAGTAAGTGCCCAGTCGACATCTTGGTGCTGGTCAGATGTATCTCTGGACAAAAAGGCTGCCAAAGGCATGCTAGCAACTTCTCCTTCTCTACGTCGGTTAAAAAGAATGATCTGGGCAAGCAATGACTTTGTCAACTTTATCCAAGCTTCTGTAGAGGAACTTTCGGAGAGCAAACAGCAGCATTCATCTTGGATTTGATTGAGATGTGCATGCAACTTTTGGACATCTTCAGTAAAGGGCATGAGAGTTGGTACGTTCCACTTAGACTCTCTGATGTTTCTTAGGGCAGTAGCAGAGATTAACTCATTCCACTTCTCCTGATGGACATCTTGAAACGCAGTTGCCTTTCTCACAAGTTCTGAGTTATTCCAGATCAAACCCTGTGCCTTTAACAGTTTGCTAACTTTGACTAGAGAATTTCCAAGTTTATTAGCCAGTGATGGGATCTTGAACACGCTTCTTTCACTATCAAATCCACATGTGAACTGGACAGCTCTCACAGTCTCCATGTAGTTTTTTGGATCTATGAGTTCTTCCATTTTTTTTAAAGTTGTGTATTTCCTGGCATTGTACAGCAACCTTGCCAATTCTCTCATCTTTTCACGTACACATTGTTGATTCCTGAGTGAAGTACCACCCTTGTTCAGCAAATGTTGCCCTAACTCAGTAATTACAGAGTCATTCTTGACAAGATCTGTAATTGGACCAGGATTCATTGCACTGATTATTCCCCACAATTGTTTGCCAATGTTGGAAGGTACGCCACCAACATAAGTACAGAAGGACTGCACGCGATTTTTTCCTGGTTTTAAACGGACTGATTCTGGTCTAAGAGCACAACTCCGTATGTGGCGCCATAGCACTTTTCTTGTAAAAAGACCTTGGCAATATGCACAGTGCATGAAGTCTGCACTCTTCATTTCTTCCTTTGGTCGCTTGAATGGCACCAACACTCCATCACCTGATTTTATTACGTTGGCATTGTGAGCATAGTTTCCTTTATTGCGGATGAAATCTAGATGTTTTTTTCTCTCCTTGGAACCTTTTGGAAAGCTAAGTGCTTTAGCCACGTCCATTTTATCTTCATGTACTTGCTGGAGAGGTCTTGCCATTTTGGAAAATGGTTTGCAGCAGTACAGGCAGTAATGCTTCTTGTCGTAGACCCTTTTTCCTTCCTTCTTTTGGCATGCACCAACAACTATAGAGCATGATTCATTGCCAGAAATGTCTGAGACAACATTGACAGATGTACTGTCACATTCCATAACAGTTTCTGAAGATGAAAACTTGCTGATCAAGTCTGTATGGGAATACTTGGGCTGAATATTTAATGCCTCACTCCCAGTATCGCTTTCCTCAGTTCCGGAATCAGGTACGTATTCTTCGCCACTACCCGATAGTGAGTCAAAAAGGTCGTCAGAATCTTCAAGATCCACATTTTTCATCTAAATGGGACACAAACAATGAATATGCAGTTTTATTTTTAAAGATAGTGGTTCTCTGTGTAATACTAGGTGAAAGAAAAGCGTAAGAAAAGCTTACTATGACACTTTTAGCACGCCGCAATTTAGGTATTAATTTGTTTTCATCAAGACACTGTGTGAAATTCTGGAAAAGAGATAGACATATTTGTTTCAGTAAAGAAACTAGAGCCATGAAACCTTTGACCATTAAAAAATGAGAAACAAACAAATTACGAAATAACTTGATTATTAAGGAGATTTGATATCAGGATAATTGAAGATTCCTTTTTTTTTTTTATTAATGGCTGATTTTTTTTCCTACAAGGACAATAGAAAAGTTTCACAAAAGTAAAAAAAAAATTAAAAAGACCTCCTGTGTAGCATAAACATAACCAAACCATTTCCTGAAAATCAGTTTGCTTCAACACTTAACAGTGGTTAATGTGTGCTGTGGGGGCAATTAGTGTCCTTAAATAAGGATACTTAATAAGCAAACTTCAAAAACTATTCAGATAGAAAAATTCTTGAATATAGCACTGCAGATCCACTTCTACACGCACTGGTGTTCAGGACTAGTGTCCATTAAATGCAAGTTAAAAAGAATAATAAGTCAAACACTGTTAAGCATGAACCAAAATCTGACCCTCACTGTTACATTTGATTCAATTAGTATTGTTACTAAATTCTCGAGGTCCAACTCAGCAGCATCGAAAAGCTAAAACAGGAACCTGATACTGTAGGTGTCCAAATGCTGAATCATGTCAAAACCAAAGAATCATGACTAGAAATTGGAAACTAAAGCCCTAAATTATATTAAACTTAATGTCAAAGAAATAATCCAAATCTTGTACTTTTTCAGGCATTGCAACTGGGATTAGTGTTTTACAAATGCCTCAGACATGAGTTATGGGGACCCAACACACATGCAGTTAAACGTCCTTCTGGGGACCAACTTTGTTCCAGCATCTAACACACTAGGTAACACTGGTTAATGTGTGCTGTGGGGACTCCGTGAGTGTCCAAAAGAGAACAATGGTTAGCAAACTTTGGAAACTGTAACACTAGATTAAGTCTTAGTTAGATGTAGCACTGCAATTGCATTTTGACATGCAGATCATTCAACTGCTTGCCGTATTAGTTTTAAGGATTTGTGGCCATCAAATGTCAGTCAGCCATACCCCATGTCAACACAACACATTGTACAGGCACATCTGACCCTCACTGTTACATTTGATTCAAATAGTATTGTTATTAAAGTCTCTAGGTCCAACTCAACGGCATGTAAAAGCTAAATCAAGAATCTGATAGGTGTCCAAATGCCGACTCTTTGGTAAAATTTACCAATATACCAAATCTGCCACTGAGGATCAATATTACAATGATTTAAACAGAATAATAAGTAAAACAGTGTTAAGCATGAACCAAAATGTGAGACAACTACCTGTTTAGAAGCTCTGTCTTCCTCAGGGTCATCAATGTTCCTCTGAGAGCTTGAACAAAGTGACGGAAGACTGGAATCCATTTCTGTCGGTTCCACGCTTGCACTGGTCAATGTCTGGAACATTTAACACAGAGTTGTTGGTATACAAACATGGACAGCCAGCTAATTCAATGGAAACTAATTTCTTGAACAAATACATTTTTCAAATGAAACCAAAGAATCATGACTAGAAATTGGAAACTAAAGCCCTAAATTATATTAAACTCAATGTCAAAGAAATAATCCAAATCTTGTACATTTTCAGGCATTGCAACTGGGATTAGTGTTTTACAAATGCCTCAGACATGAGTTATGGGGACCCAACACACATGCAGTTAAACGTCCTTCTGGGGACCAACTTTGTTCGAGCATCTAACACACTAGGTAACACTGGTTAATGTGTGCTGTGGGGACTCCGTGAGTGTCCAAAAGAGAACAATGGTTAGCAAATTTTGGAAACTGTAACACTAGATTAAGTCTTAGTTAGATGTAGCACTGCAATTGCATTTTGACATGCAGATCATTCAACTGCTTGCCGTATTAGTTTTAAGGATTTGTGGCCATCAAATGTCAGTCAGCCATACCCCATGTCAACACAACACATTGTACAGGCACATCTGACCCTCACTGTTACATTTGATTCAAATAGTATTGTTATTAAAGTCTCTAGGTCCAACTCAACGGCATGTAAAAGCTAAATCAAGAATCTGATAGGTGTCCAAATGCCGACTCTTTGGTAAAATTTACCAATATACCAAATCTGCCACTGAGGATCAATATTACAATGATTTAAACAGAATAATAAGTAAAACAGTGTTAAGCATGAACCAAAATGTGAGACAACTACCTGTTTAGAAGCTCTGTCTTCCTCGGGGTCATCAATGTTCCTCTGAGAGCTTGAACAAAGTGACGGAAGACTGGAATCCATTTCTGTCGGTTCCACGCTTGCACTGGTCAATGTCTGGAACATTTAACAAAGAGTTGTTGGTATACAAACATGGACAGCCAGCTAATTCAATGGAAACTAATTTCTTGAACAAATACATTTTTCAAATGAAACCAAAGAATCATGACTAGAAATTGGAAACTAAAGCCCTAAATTATATTAAACTCAATGTCAAAGAAATAATCCAAATCTTGTACATTTTCAGGCATTGCAACTGGGATTAGTGTTTTACAAATGCCTCAGACATGAGTTATGGGGACCCAACACACATGCAGTTAAACGTCCTTCTGGGGACCAACTTTGTTCCAGCATCTAACACACTAGGTAACACTGGTTAATGTGTGCTGTGGGGACTCCGTGAGTGTCCAAAAGAGAACAATGGTTAGCAAATTTTGGAAACTGTAACACTAGATTAAGTCTTAGTTAGATGTAGCACTGCAATTGCATTTTGACATGCAGATCATTCAACTGCTTGCCGTATTAGTTTTAAGGATTTGTGGCCGTCAAACGTCAGTCAGCCATACCCCATGTCAACACAACACATTGTACAGGCACATCTGACCCTCACTGTTACATTTGATTCAAATAGTATTGTTATTAAAGTCTCTAGGTCCAAGTCAGCAGCATCGAAAAGCTAAATCAAGAATCTGATAGGTGTCCAAATGCCGACTCTTTGGTAAAATTTACCAATATACCAAATCTGCCACTGGGGATCAATATTACAATGATTTAAACAGAATATAAGTAAAACAGTGTTAAGCATGAACCAAAATGTGAGACAACTACCTGTTTAGAAGCTCTGTCTTCCTCGGGGTCATCAATGTTCCTCTGAGAGCTTGAACAAAGTGACGGAAGACTGGAATCCATTTCTGTCGGTTCCACGCTTGCACTGGTCAATGTCTGGAACATTTAACAAAGAGTTGTTGGTATACAAACATGGACAGCCAGCTAATTCAATGGAAATAAATTTCTTGAACAAATACATTTTTCAAATGAAACCAAAGAATCATGACTAGAAATTGGAAACTAAAGCCCTAAATTATATTAAACTCAATGTCAAAGAAATAATCCAAATCTTGTACATTTTCAGGCATTGCAACTGGGATTAGTGTTTTACAAATGCCTCAGACATGAGTTATGGGGACCCAACACACATGCAGTTAAACGTCCTTCTGGGGACCAACTTTGTTCCAGCATCTAACACACTAGGTAACACTGGTTAATGTGTGCTGTGGGGACTCCGTGAGTGTCCAAAAGAGAACAATGGTTAGCAAATTTTGGAAACTGTAACACTAGATTAAGTCTTAGTTAGATGTAGCACTGCAATTGCATTTTGACATGCAGATCATTCAACTGCTTGCCGTATTAGTTTTAAGGATTTGTGGCCATCAAATGTCAGTCAGCCATACCCCATGTCAACACAACACATTGTACAGGCACATCTGACCCTCACTGTTACATTTGATTCAAATAGTATTGTTATTAAAGTCTCTAGGTCCAACTCAACGGCATGTAAAAGCTAAATCAAGAATCTGATAGGTGTCCAAATGCCGACTCTTTGGTAAAATTTACCAATATACCAAATCTGCCACTGAGGATCAATATTACAATGATTTAAACAGAATAATAAGTAAAACAGTGTTAAGCATGAACCAAAATGTGAGACAACTACCTGTTTAGAAGCTCTGTCTTCCTCGGGGTCATCAATGTTCCTCTGAGAGCTTGAACAAAGTGACGGAAGACTGGAATCCATTTCTGTCGGTTCCACGCTTGCACTGGTCAATGTCTGGAACATTTAACAAAGAGTTGTTGGTATACAAACATGGACAGCCAGCTAATTCAATGGAAATTAATTTCTTGAACAAATACATTTTTCAAATGAAACCAAAGAATCATGACTAGAAATTGGAAACTAAAGCCCTAAATTATATTAAACTCAATGTCAAAGAAATAATCCAAATCTTGTACATTTTCAGGCATTGCAACTGGGATTAGTGTTTTACAAATGCCTCAGACATGAGTTATGGGGACCCAACACACATGCAGTTAAACGTCCTTCTGGGGACCAACTTTGTTCCAGCATCTAACACACTAGGTAACACTGGTTAATGTGTGCTGTGGGGACTCCGTGAGTGTCCAAAAGAGAACAATGGTTAGCAAATTTTGGAAACTGTAACACTAGATTAAGTCTTAGTTAGATGTAGCACTGCAATTGCATTTTGACATGCAGATCATTCAACTGCTTGCCGTATTAGTTTTAAGGATTTGTGGCCATCAAATGTCAGTCAGCCATACCCCATGTCAACACAACACATTGTACAGGCACATCTGACCCTCACTGTTACATTTGATTCAAATAGTATTGTTATTAAAGTCTCTAGGTCCAACTCAACGGCATGTAAAAGCTAAATCAAGAATCTGATAGGTGTCCAAATGCCGACTCTTTGGTAAAATTTACCAATATACCAAATCTGCCACTGAGGATCAATATTACAATGATTTAAACAGAATAATAAGTAAAACAGTGTTAAGCATGAACCAAAATGTGAGACAACTACCTGTTTAGAAGCTCTGTCTTCCTCGGGGTCATCAATGTTCCTCTGAGAGCTTGAACAAAGTGACGGAAGACTGGAATCCATTTCTGTCGGTTCCACGCTTGCACTGGTCAATGTCTGGAACATTTAACACAGAGTTGTTGGTATACAAACATGGACAGCCAGCTAATTCAATGGAAACTAATTTCTTGAACAAATACATTTTTCAAATGAAACCAAAGAATCATGACTAGAAATTGGAAACTAAAGCCTTAAATTATATTAAACTCAATGTCAAAGAAATAATCCAAATCTTGTACTTTTTCAGGCATTGACACTGGGATTAGTGTTTTACAAATGCCTCAGACATGAGTTATGGGGACCCAACACACATGCAGTTAAACGTCCTTCTGGGGACCAACTTTGTTCCAGCATCTAACACACTAGGTAACACTGGTTAATGTGTGCTGTGGGGACTCCGTGAGTGTCCAAAAGAGAACAATGGTTAGCAAATTTTGGAAACTGTAACACTAGATTAAGTCTCACCCCAGGCTCACACCGACTCCGGTCTTACCGTTGCGGTGCGGTGGGTGCGGCGCCGCAGTGATTCCAAGTCATTAAAAAGACGTAAACCTCTCTCACCGGCTGCTGAGCTGTCCGGCTGCGGTTACCGAGACACTCCGGCGCTGCAGAAAATCCCGCAAGAAAGCTATCCTTGCGGCGTGCCGGAGCCCTCCGCAACAAGCTCTCGCAAAAATCCTTTATTTGGGCCGTGTTATCGCGTGAAGTTACGTGAACTCAAGTGAACTTCTGTTAAATCTCCGGACCTGTTGCCGGAGCCGCAGAGCCGCACCGCACCGTAGTCAAAAGGGCGGTGTGAGAGGGGGTGTGCGGGAGTTGCGGTCTCCGTCGGCTCGGTAACTGCACCGGAGCCAGTGTGAGCAAGGGGTCAGTTAGATGTAGCACTGCAATTGCATTTTGACATGCAGATCATTCAACTGCTTGCCGTATTAGTTTTAAGGATTTGTGGCCGTCAAATGTCAGTCAGCCATACCCCATGTCAACACAACACATTGTACAGGCACATCTGACCCTCACTGTTACATTTGATTCAATCAATATTGTTATTAAAGTCTCTAGGTCCAACTCAACGGCATGTAAAAGCTAAATTCAAGAATCTGATAGGTGTCCAAATGCCGACTCTTTGGTAAAATTTACCAATATACCAAATCTGCCACTGGGGATCAATACTACAATGATTTAAACAGAATAATAAGTAAAACAGTGTTAAGCATGAACCAAAATGTGAGACAACTACCTGTTTAGAAGCTCTGTCTTCCTCGGGGTCATCAATGTTCCTCTGAGAGCTTGAACAAAGTGACGGAAGACTGGAATCCATTTCTGTCGGTTCCACGCTTGCACTGGTCAATGTCTGGAACATTTAACAAAGAGTTGTTGGTATACAAACATGGACAGCCAGCTAATTCAATGGAAACTAATTTCTTGAACAAATAAATTTTTCAAATGAAACCAAAGAATCATGACTAGAAATTGGAAACTAAGCCTTAAAGGAATAGTACACCCAAAACATGATTAGCCTTCATTTTCTACTCACCCCCATGCTGAACAACACTCTGGAGTACTTTTTTGATATCTCAAATGCATCTGGAGATCTGGGAGGCTTCTTGCTGTCTGCTGACATTCAAATAATGGAGGTCTATTGTGCCCGAGGCAGAAAGGTCCATAAAAGTCCACAAAAACGTGTCAATATTCCTCCATACTGCTCGTCCAATGTATTCCAAGTGTCCTGAGTGGGTAGCATCCAGAATTTACTCGAAACGAAGTCATTTAGAATGTTTTTAGAGCATAAACAGTAGTGTATAGGACTTCCTGAAAGCGCGCACATGCGCGTTCACGACGCTACGGAAGCCGGCAGACCAAACCAGCGCATTCAGCTTGGCAAAGAACTCATGCTCTTCCTCAACACTGAAGTCCTCAGACATTTTTCTTTCGTTGTTTCTTTCTTTGCACAGGTAAACAGCACATTTCTTCTTCTACGCTTGCATTATTGGCAGAGCAGACGCTGAATGCGCACTTTCATCTGGTTTGGTGTGCCGGCTTCCGTAGCGTCGTGATTGCGCAGGCTCGCGCTTTGAGGAAATCCTATACACTACTGTTTATGCTCTAAAAACATTCTAAATGACTTCGTTTCGAGTAAATTCTGGATGCTACCCACTCAGGACACTTGGAATACATTGGACAAGCAGTATGGAGGAATATTGACACGTTTTTGTGGACTTTTATGGACCTTTCTGCCTCGGGCGCCATAGACCTCCATTATTTGAATGTCAGCAGACAGCAAGAAGCCTCCCAGATCTCCAGATGCATTTGAGATATCAAAAAAGTCCTCCAGAGTGTTGTTCAGCATGGGGGTGAGTAGAAAATGAAGGCTAATGATGTTTTGGGTGTACTATTCCTTTAAAATATATTAAACACAATGTCACAGAAATAATCCAAATCTTGTACATTTTCAGGCATTGCAACTGGGATTAGTGTTTTACAAATGCCTCAGACATGATTTATGGGGACCCAACACACATGCAGTTAAACGTCCTTCTGGGGACCAACTTTGTTCCAGCATCTAACACACTAGGTAACACTGGTTAATGTGTGCTGTGGGGACTCCGTGAGTGTCCAAAAGAGAACAATGGTTAGCAAACTTTGGAAACTGTAATACTAGATTAAGTCTTAGTTAGATGTAGCACTGCAATTGCATTTTGACATGCAGATCATTCAACTGCTTGCCGTATTAGTTTTAAGGATTTGTGGCCATCAAATGTCAGTCAGCCATACCCCATGTCAACACAACACATTGTACAGGCACATCTGACCCTCACTGTTACATTTGATTCAAATAGTATTGTTATTAAAGTCTCTAGGTCCAAGTCAGCAGCATCAAAAGCTAAATCAAGAATCTGAAAGGTGTCCAAATGCCGACTCTTTGGTAAAATTTACCAATATACCAAATCTGCCACTGGGGATCAATATTACAATGATTTAAACAGAATAATAAGTAAAACAGTGTTAAGCATGAACCAAAATGTGAGACAACTACCTGTTTAGAAGCTCTGTCTTCCTCGGGGTCATCAATGTTCCTCTGAGAGCTTGAACAAAGTGACGGAAGACTGGAATCCATTTCTGTCGGTTCCACGCTTGCACTGGTCAATGTCTGGAACATTTAACACAGTTTTTGGTATACAAACATGGACAGCCAGCTAATTCAATGGAAACTAATTTCTTGAACAAATACATTTTTCAAATGAAACCAAAGAATCATGACTAGAAATTGGAAACTAAAGCCCTAAATTATATTAAACTCAATGTCAAAGAAATAATCCAAATCCTGTACTTTTTCAGGCATTGACACTGGGATTAGTGTTTTACAAATGCCTCAGACATGAGTTATGGGGACCCAACACACATGCAGTTAAACGTCCTTCTGGGGACCAACTTTGTTCCAGCATCTAACACACTAGGTAACACTGGTTAATGTGTGCTGTGGGGACTCCGTGAGTGTCCAAAAGAGAACAATGGTTAGCAAATTTTGGAAACTGTAACACTAGATTAAGTCTTAGTTAGATGTAGCACTGCAATTGCATTTTGACATGCAGAACATTCACGAAATGATCTACATACCAAATCTGCCACTCAGGATCAACATGTATTTTTCCAACTTTGTGTTTAAATTACAATTTTGCAAAGTATTACAAATCTTTTATATTGTGTTGATGACAATTCTTGATGTATTTTTTTCATGCTTCTCAATACTTCACTCTTTGCTAAGCTTCTTACCTGTGTCCTCCATGGACACACTGAACCCCCATAATCATAGGTGATTTCTTCTCCTTCTTTAATGTCGTTAACCGCAAACAAACAAAGGTGGGGTTTTCCATTCACATTAATTTTTTTCATTTTGCAGTTCGGTTGTCTGTGGTCATCATTTATGAGTCTACCTAGTGACCCATCTTCTCTGGAGGCATCAATGCTTTAAAGGAAAAAAATGATAAAAAGCAGAAAACATAAGGATAAAATAAACGTGCAAAATCCATTCATCAGAATTTTTCAAAGTACAGAAATATTTTAGCCCTCACCACCATGTTTTGCCGTGCCACTTAAATGCAAACATAAAAGCAGCACAAGCAGGGTGGTACAGTCTCCTTCTTCTCTCAGATTCTTCTTCAGTAATCCTTTCTCCATAATACTCAACTACAAACTCTCCTTTGTAAATTGAACTTTTTGCAAAGACCCCACGTCCTATAAAACATAGCACAGTGTCCTCTTATTAATTAGTTGCTAAAATGTTGAGATATGTTTGGTTGCTGGACAGTTTGACTTTGTTATTCATCTTTGATTGAATTTGATAAATAATGACATCTTACCTTTCACTGGATTAATGTACTTCACCTCAAGTTTTGATATTTTGTCTGTTCTCGAAACAACATGATGCATTGCATCTTTCATTGGACTGATACGTGGTGTCATCTTAACCTGCAAAACATAAAAATAAGCTCCAAACCAATATTTCTATAAAAGATGAAAACCTTAAAACAGCTAACTATTATTGCCATTTTTTGGCACTGAAAATATATAAAATACACATAAGCACTCGTGATTGCAACACATAATTATATAAACATTATTTTTGGAAGCAGACATTTTATGCCATCACTGATAATGAACATACATTACAACATGAGTTTCTTTCACAAATTTTAGAAAAATGGTGACTTAATGGCTAACCATGCCTCCCAATCTATGAGACATCACATGGCTAACCACCTGTGATTTAGCTAATGACAATAAAAGCACATAATTCATCCAAATTTATTCAAGTGCTCAGGGGATTTACCTCACCTGAAATGAAATTCACATTTTATCACTTGACACTAACAATTTAAAACCAAAAATGGACATATCTGAAATGACAGGACTTAGCTTCCTAGCTAGAGCTTGTCTTGCTAAACTACACATGTTTTTAAACAAATCACAAATGGCAGAAAACAACGATATGTAGATAATACATTACATTGCAAAACTTTCATACTTACTGAGCATTTTTTGGACCGTCACAGTTTTCTTAAAGTCCTGCGTGTTGTTTTTATCATGGAGTGAGCATCAAACACGTGAGAAACCAAGCTACTACCAGTTAGTTGCTACTTCCTGCTGTTTCCAAAATAAAAGCCTATAAGAGGAAGTAAAACTATGACGGAATTCTGAAGTTTTTTTTATTTATTTAAGACATTCCATAGTTTTTTGCAATGCTTAATATTGAATATTTCAGTTTTTCAGAAAAATCTGATTTAAATGTTGGCGATTTTAATTTAAAGGAATTCAGAAAATAAATAGAACGAAGGTTACATATGTAACCACGGTTCTATGAATCCCAGATGACCGCCAGAGGCGGTGCTTAAAGCACTGAATGATCACTCTTGCGCCAGAAAAAAAAAAAACTTTCCGGGGCGCAACTAGGGCTGGGTATTGTTCAAAAATGTTCGGTTCCTGTACCAATACCGATACCTTCACTTCAATACCGGTTCCTGAACGATACATTTTTTCGATACCAGTTTTATAATATCAATTCAAAGAAAAAGAAAATTACACAACATAAAAAAGTACAAATCTTGAGTTTTATTTTAAGCTCTGATTTTTCCATTTACATTTTTCCTCTTACATTAAAAAAAAAAAAATCAGTGTCTAATATTCACTGTTACAATGTGAGGACCTTTTTACTTAGCAGTTTTTCTTTAGAAAAATTACCATGTCTGGGATCCTACTGACAGCGCACCGCTGGTATGTGGGGGTCTGAGCAGCTCCGACAGAAATATTGGAAGGCAGGATGAACTGACTGCACTGATGTAAGTTTTCAGGTGGATTTTCCCACTTAAAAACATAATAAAACTACTTTATTCCCACTGATCACAGCAAATATAGCTGCAAGGAAAATAAAGGATAGAGTAGCTCCGCCCAACGTGTGTCAGAGCCACTTTTCGACTGCGCAGCCAGAGCAGCAAAGCTTCTTCAGCCGCGCGTCAGAAGCTGGTACAAGCAGCAAACAGGAAGCAGCAGATGTGATTTTGCTGCTCCTGCTGCGTCCAGTTTGAAAGCAGCATGATTCACTCCGCTCTGGCTTTGCTCTGCCCACGCGCTGCTGAGAGGAGGATGGTGGCGCCAGCTGCGGTCCGCTCTTCTTGCAGTCAAACACCGAGCAACTTTCTGCTCTTAAATTGTTTCCGTGCACGATGTATTGCATTGCGCACTATTGGCATCAGTCTTAATAAAGTGAAGCCGCACTTTTGACCTGGGGGGCATTTTAAAGGGGTTCCACGACGCTGCAACCATTTCACAACAGATACACATGAACCCTGGCTGTAGGCGGGACCACCTGTGTATTTTTCCTGGATGACGCAATCATGTTAAGTGTTACAGCCAATCACCGAAACTTGGTACCGAAAGACGAGGCATGTTTCGATACTCTGTAGAACCGAAGCATTTCGGTCGGTACGATGAAAGAACCGAAGTTCGGTACCCAGCCCTAGGCGCAACACAGAAAAAGAAAAAGGGAGAAGGATAAAGTTGTTGGCGGGATGAAAAAAAGCCTTTCAATGTGGTTGAAAGACAGTAGGTAAGTTCTGTCAGTGTATCGACAACAGGACAGGAGGGTTGTAAATATTCAGGTTAGATAAAGCTAGCCTGATACGGAGTCGTCCCATATTTGGCTGTTAAATGTTGTGTCCCCTTTTGATTCAATAAGGAACGCGATTTCTTCTGTATTGCTAGGAATATCTGATACATACGCCTGTAACACACACATATCCACACACTAAATGTAAGAATGACCGAAATAAAACTTGTGAAATATTAACACAGGAAAGCTAAAATGTCTTGGCCAGTGCTCAGCTATGGTCCAACGCTTAGCTGCAATTTATTCACTCATATGTACATTTCTTATTATTGATTTTTTTTAATTAAAGATGAGATGCACAAGTTTATGTGTGTATCAGACACATTAATCCAGTGTCATTATAGCCCTTAGACTCGGTGACCCATGTTACCAACCTTTTTGGCAGGGGGGCACTTGAGTTTAAATGTTTTATTCAGTATCACTACAGTGGTGTTGTGATGTATCTGATAAGTCAGATAAGATGCAGGGTCCAGTCAGTAACTGTTATCCAACAAGAAGATCATTCAAATTTAAATATTAATTTTTATTGTAGTTTGACTGCTTTATTTTTTTAACCCTACTTAACATAACATTAATGTAATTCAGCTGTGAGGATGGAGAGAAAGAAGAGAAGATGACAGAGGAATAATCAGTACAGACAGGGGAAAGCAACAGGTTGGTCTAATATTAGGTGGAAGTGAGGGAACAGCTACTTAATCCCAATCGATAATGTTTAAACATTATTTTTAAAAACTGTATTAAGATCTGTAATTTTTACAACTAATTTATAATGCTTTTTGACCATATCACTTAGTGAGAATGCCACAGAGAAGGGGTGAAGGAGACAGACATGAGGTCGGTGATAGAAGATACATTAGGGAGGCAGCAAAAACATAAATACCATAATGGTTTGAATTTCTGATGACCATCTCTCATTGTGTTCTTTTTTGGGAAAATTGGGAGAATGTGGAACAGAAAGGTGCAGATGAGGGAGAGGAGCAGAGAGGACCAGATGATGAAGAAGAGGGAGAGGAGCATAGAGGTTCAGATGATGAAGAGGGAGAGGAGCAGAGAGCTGCAGGGGAGAGTGCTGAGACAAGGCTTTATTCAGAAGATCCATCTGAATGGCCTTTAACACACAAAATGAGGGACATATTTAGGCAGTAGGCTACATGGTTGAAAATGACCCACCGAAAGTTTCTGATGGCCCATATCCAAGAGCAGAGAAGAGTAAGAGGATGACAAGTATGAGGAAACAATGTCTGCTGCCTTCACAGAGGGGGATTCAGGAAGGCCTATGGAGGCAACATGTTACTGATTGTTCACTCCACATTGCCTAACATTCTGGTGGAATACAGTGATATTCAGCCTCCACTGAAGTTCTAACATATTCTCATCCTTGTTAAAAGAGCGTGGCAGCAGCAGGAGAGTCCCTTATCCTCCACTGCACAGATTGAGACAGTGAGATAGATACTTAATAAACACTAGACGGTCATTCGCTGAAATCATATGAAACTATGTTTTAACGTCAATCTCCTGTATCCGCAGCTACCTATTAAAAAAGTAGTGCACTATACACTGGATATTTGCAATGCAAAATTCACTTTTTATGGACTCTGTTTCATACTGAGTTACTAATAAATTCAAACAATGAACCCCATTTTTGTATTTTTTAACTGTATTAAAGATCAGTAAACAGACAATAAAAATACATATGAACAATTCTTGATGGTGGGTATTTTCACATAACAAAAGTCTAAATACTGAATCAGTGGAGTCAATCTATGTAGAAAAATGTCAATTTTTAGTTAGAGTTATGAATTTTATCTTTTAAGTTGATATTGTCTTTTAAACAAAATCATTTCAAGTTTTTGCCATAACCTTCTTTTTGGGGACCAGGAAGAAGGCGGTACCCAACCATATTTGGAAAAGTGTGTGAATTACCGTGAGGTGCAGTACCAACCTGAAACCTTAAGGGGGCAGTATTGGGTCTCACACACTAACACAAAAGTGACCGAAAAACATGTGATATGGGCCATTGCTGGAACTTCACCAGCACCCTTAAAATGTCTTAAATAGTCATTTTAACCCATTTTCCTTATGGGGACCAACTTTTAGGTCCCCATGAGGGAGGAGGTCCCCATGACGTGACTGTGTAAACAATCCGAGGTCCCCATGATGTGATAAAAACAAGAACACACACACACCGGAACTTGGCGCGCCCCACCTGTCACGTCTCAATTCCCCACCAGTGGGTCGCGCCACACACTTTGAGAACCGCGGATCTAGTTGATGCCCACCATGTGTAAGCAAGACCACAATAAGCATTCAAAAACAACCTCTACTTTTGCAAATGTTTTCCATGCCTTTTTACAAGACAGGTTGGTATTTTAAGGTACACATTCACACATTTTAAACCAGTGTTTGTACTACTGGTTAAACATTAAAATAAATGAAATGAAAAGTGTCTTTCTTGTGTTCAACTTTAGTCTTTTAGCTGGCTATTAGTAAAAAAAATTTCTCTTAATACGGGCATTTAAAAAAATGAACAGAAGCTGTCAGGTCCTTTATTTCACAGTCCTTTACAAGAGGAGACTAAGTGGTGAGGCACCCATGCCACTTTTGCTTTGCTGCTGTTATTCACCATTTCTCATGGTGGCATTTCCTTAAAAAGTCTACATCAAACTTGTTGCTTTACTTCCTCACCTGCAGCATCTTTTTGTTTCATCACCTCCTCAGTAGCAGTCTACCATCTATTTTTCCATTCATTTAGGATGTCTTTATAAAAGTGCCTCCGTAGGCCATTTTAGGAAAGAGTTTAGAAACTTTTTATTGTCTCGCTTTTACAACATTTAACTTAACCTGGATTCTGTCTAAAGAGTTTTTTCGTTGACAGCTGGAGGTCAAGCTGTCCTGCACTGATCATGACTCAGCTGGTCTTGGATGCTAGTTTCCAAATTTATCTACCATTTAGTGCAGCAGACATAGCACACAGTGCAGCAGACACAGCATACAAACAGGAGTCTTTAAATGAAGAAATTATGGCAGAGACATTATATACATACATACATATATATATATATATATATATATATATATATATATATATATACACATACATATATATATAAACATATATATATATTATATATATATATATATATATATATATATATATATATATATATATATATGTTTATATATATATGTTTATATATATATATATATAATATATATATATGTTTATATATATATGTATGTGTATATATATATATATGTATGTGTATATATATATATATATATATATATATATATATATTTATATATATATATAATATATATATATGTTTATATATATATGTATGTGTATATATATATATATATATATATATATATATATATATATATATACATATATATATATACACATACATATATATATAAACATATATATATATTATATATATATATAAACATATATATATATAAACATATATATATAAACATATATATATATATATATATATATATATATATATATATATATGTATTTTTTTTTTAGGTATTTGTGCTGTACAATATTATTTATATAATATTTATATAGTAATCATTTTTTTCTAGGTCAAAGGACAAGTAGATGCAGATTCACCATTTCTTCAAATGTTTTTTTTCTAAAAATTTTTAACGTCAG